TAACCACTTTATGAAGCTTGTAAGTTCCTTTATCTACACAGTAGACAAAACTTTATAAAGAGATTTGTCCAGGTCAGGCGTGGTAGTTCATTCCTGTAATCCAAGCACTTTGGGAGGCTGAGGTGGGTGGATCATGAGGTCAGGAGATCGAGACCAGCCTGGCCAACATGGTGAAACCCCATCTCTACTAAAAATACAAAAACTGGCTGGGCGTGGTGACATGTGCCTGTAGTCCTAGCTACTAAGGAGGCTGAGGCAAGAGAATTACTTGAACCTGGGAGACGGAGGTTGCAGTGAGCTGAGATCGTGTCACTGCACTCCAGCCTGGGCAACAAAAGCGAGACTCTATCTCAAAAAAAAGAAAAAAAAAAAAAAGAGAGAGAGAGAGATTTGTCCATATGGGTAATGAAATAACATTTTTGTAAAGTAGCCTTTTCTATGTTTATTGCAGATGTTTGTATCTCAGAGCTGAGTCTACTTGCTTTCTCACACAGCATCATTATTTCCTTATTCCTAATAACTTTCATCACAAACATTTCCCAGCTCTGTCCCAATCAAGTTCTTATTTCTCTGATCAGAATTACAATTTATAAATGTAGGTCCACATGTGGATATCTTAAGAAGCAGTGAATGAAATACCAGTGGAGAAATACACAAATGAGTGTGAACATATAATAGAAAAACAGAAAAACAATGCAAGAAAAAGTGCATGTACTGAGTATGGAATGAACTGATGCAGTTCATAAAGACAACTCAAAAGGCAACTCATGGTTGGGCACAGTGGCCAACACTGGGAGGCTGAGGCGGGAGGACTGCTTGAAATTAGGAGTCTGAGACTAGCCTGGGCACCATAATGAGAACTTGCAGCTATTAAAAAAAAAAAAAAAAGAAAAAGAAAAACAGCTGGGCATGATGGCACATGCCTGTAGTCCCAGCTACTTAAGAGGCTGATGTGTGAGGATTGCTTGAGCCCAGGGGGTAGAGGCTGCAGTGAGCTGCGATCACTCCACTGCACTCCAGGTGACAGAGTGAGACCCTGTCTCACACAAAGCCAATTCATTTGAGCTGAGGTTTGACTGTACTTTTAATTGCCCACATAGAAAAGAGGAAAAATAATGCTTTTCATCTTTTAAAATATTCCATTTACCTTTTAGTAAGACAAATTCTTATCTTTATGTAAAACTGTGAAAGAACAGTTACATAGATTATTGCAGCTTAGATTATTTTCAACAAGTTTAAATTCCACACGTAAGGATACATACCATTTTTACCAGCTATACTTTAAAATGTCAGTCTTTAAAAATTCTTCTATGTGTATACGTGGTTTCTTCTTCTTTTCAAAAATTCATGCCTGTGAAGTTTTTAGGAATATTTTTCAAAACTTCAGTACTGAAGCATTAACTTTTTATGTGATATAGCACCTTTAAATTTGTGTTTTTATTCACACAAGAGCATTATTGTACATTTAATCATTTCTTTTGCTAGTATTTATAATCTCAGCGAATAGGATAGCAGTATAGTACCTAAATTAAACTATTAGGAATAACTGGATGCCTACCACAGCAACAGAGCTTTAATGAGGTTAATTATTATTATTATTATTATTATTATTTTTTTTTTTTGAGACGGAGTTTCACTCTTGCTACCCAGGCTGGAATGCAGTGGCGCGATCTCAGCTTACCGCAACCTCCGCCTCCTGGGTTCAAGCGATTCTCCTGCCTCAGCCTCCCGAGTAGCTGGGATTACAGGCATGTGCCACCATGCCCAGCTAATTTTTGTATTTTTAGTAGAGACGGGGTTTTACCATGTTGACCAGGATGGTCTTGATCTCTTGACCTCGTACCCGCCTTGGCCTCCCAAAGTGCTGGGATTACAGGCGTGAGCCACCGCGCCCGGCCCAATGAGGTTAATTATTACACACATATCCATTCCAACACAGCAGTGCATATTTTACATGACCAGCCTCTTATGTAGTTAAAAATAAAACTGCAGTTTTAAAATGTCAAGTTCCTCAACCTTACTGGATTTTAAAACAAAACAAACAAGAGAAACAAGGATTTTCTAATCTATCTACAAGCAGAAATGCCAGAAAATAAAGCTGCAGTATTCCATAGAGCTCAAATTTCCTTTTCTAAGTCATGACATTTCTCTTTCATTCTCTCTGTTTTCTTTTTCTTCTAAGATAAGAAAATGTAAAACATAAATGAAAAGATAAAAACTGCTTAATATGGCAAGGAACAAGAATGAAACTAGATTTTTTTTTTTTTTAGTAAAGAGGCAAATTTTATACAACCGTAAAAATTAAAAATGAAAAACAATAATAGAAATAGCATAATGCTACAGACTATCCCAGTTTCCTGGGCTCTGAAGAAGAGCTGCTATACTAAATACTAACTTTATTTATCTGAAGTATTCAATACCTTCTGATAACCCAAGCAGCATTATATTAATAGCCGGAAAAATACTACAAAATGTCCTTCTACCTCTCCCAGAAGAAATACACCAGGAAACTGAAGCCTGATGAATAACTACCAAGAATCTTGTCTTGTATTACAAGTCTCCTTCTAAATACAAAATACTAGGTTTTTGTAATGTTAAAAGGAATAATGGAAAGGAAATGACTGGCAAGAAACATTTCCTAATTTGCAAGACACAAATAGTTGGAAGCCACTTTAGTTTCTTACTCCTTTTCAGCCTAATGGTAGGAAAATATTAGGCACCTACTGAATTCACAAATTCATGAAACGGGGTGGACAATAGCCTTGAGTAGGGGAAGCATTTGGAACAGCAATCAACTACTTAATTACATAACGGGGAGCTAGGCACACAAAGAAAAGGGTTCAGAAGAAATACCTTGAAAAGTAAGCAATGTAGAAGCTGAGGACAGAAGTGAGGCTAATCAAATGTTCTTAGGAAGACGTTTCTCCCTTGAAAATATGCCCCCCCCCCATAAAACACGTAATTACTACTCAAGGAAAATACTCTCTCTAAAGAATGTCACAATTTGGAGTGAAGTTATTTAACAAAACAGGGAATAAAGCCTTAATGTTGGCTGTAGCAGTATTTTATTTGGGTAGATTATACTTAAAATATTTCCTTCACACATACTTCTGTTAAGAATGAGTTTTCTCATTCTTGAGTTTTACAATGTCTCCTATCTAAACTTCAAATTTAATTAGCACCTGCTACATTTGTTTTAGTGCCAGATAAAGGTATCAAATGATGACAGACACTCATGTGAGGTATACAATTAATTAAAGACTAGAAATTGGGGTATTATCATGTAAGACATTTGAGAGGCCAAAAGTCATATAATTTTAAGATACTTATACATGATGTTACAGTAATAATTCATCTATATGACAATTATTTTGATATAAGTGGCATATCAGAATTTAACTTACTTAGATCTTAAGGAATATTAGATGTATTTTCGAATGAACACTCAAATCATGCTATTATTATCAGCCATTGGGAGAACAAAGCAATCAGGTGGTCTAAGGCACATATAGACCCAATAATTTAGAAATTTTCACTATTATGAGATATGCTGTTCCTAATAAATATGTCAATAACGGCTCTTGAAATGGGGGCAAGGTGAATAAGTACCCAGTAAATTGTGTACTTTTATAAAGTAGTGTTTTTGAGAACACAGATAAACAGAGATGCAAAAGGAATTTCCTTACTTTAAAAAAAGTGACTGCTATCTTAGTAGACTACTTTAAAATAACTTAACCTTATATTTAATGGTTAGTCATTTACATACTTAAGAAATCAGCAGTAATCTAAAAAAAATCAGAAGGCAGTTTTCTTGGATAATGAACCTGTGACTCCAAGATAGACAACAATGTGGAAATTAACTCAGGAAACTTTCTATTGTAGTAACTCAGTGGTTTCTCACTTTATAAAGGTTTGGAAGAATTAATGAATTTCTTTTTTCTTTCTTTTTTTTTTTTTAAAAATATGGTCTTGCTCTGTTGCCCAGGCTGGAGTACAGTGGCATGATCACAGCTCACTGCAGCTTTGAACTCCTGGGCTCAAGTGATCCTCCACATGCTGGCCTCCTGAGTAACTGGCACTATAGGCATGAGCCGCCATGCTCAGTTAATTTTAACTTTTATTTTTGGAGAAACAGTGTCTCACTATGTTGACCAGGTTGGTCTCTAACTCCTGGCTTCAAGTGGTTCTCCTGTTCTGTACTCCCAAAGCCCTAGGATTACAGGCTTGAGCCACCACACCCTGCCAGTGAATTTCAAAATGCAAATTAACCTCTTTTAGACACAAGATCTGACAGAGTAATGAAACTGGTCTTTCTTAATTTCTTTCTTTTATTACCTTCCTTTTCTTATTCTTGCCTCTCAACTTGTTATATTTAGTTACAAAATATATGAATCAGGATTTATGTTGGCATGAAAATTATATACAATATGAAATCACTAAGTAAAGAAGGGAAGGGGTGATTTGGCTCTAGTCCCAAAGTTAATGTCATAAAGAGAAATAATGTTAAGTATTTTTATTTCTTAGATCTTCTATTTTACTCTTAATACCAAAAAAGAGTCCTATCATTTAACTTTTTTATATAAAGTATTTCATATTGTTTATTTTTGATGTGACCAAATGAAAGCTTTCTGAATTTTAAGGTGCAATTCACTATATATTAACCGACAGCCTGCAGACTACCTAACTGCTTCAAACTTGGCATCAAATGCTGTCTTTTTGGTACTTATAAGTAGGGTAAGGATGAAGATATTTGACAAGAGCGCAACAGTACGTATTTGTTAAAGTCTTTTCAAAAGGCCATTCTAGATTATTCAGGCAGGCTCATCAGTTGACAGCTAGCCTTATCTTTCCTTCTTCTGTTTGCCTCACTGCATTTTTACTCATTTCATTCTCTGTCAAGTCCTCTTCCAGAAGAAGAGGCAAGGGAAACACACGAAAATGACACCCATTAATTTCCAACATTCACAATGAAATCAATCACATCATCAATCATGAGGGTATACTGTCTGACCATTTTTCTGGATCATTTTTTATTGGCAACATAGTCCCTTTAGTTTGTACTTTACAACTAGTATTTTCTACCAGGATGCACAGTTAAAAAAAATGGCTTGTAGAGCCAAATATGCTCAAAATATATAAAATATAATTATAAATACGGTCATTCTCTTAAGATCTGTGCCTGATGGAATCACATTTTGTGAATTAGCAATAGTTTGATAATAATGCACACAAAATTTCCCATAATTACTAGGAATAACTGAAAGTTGGACATATGAAACCTTCACTAACTCAGAATCATGTAGCCATTTGGGCCAGCAAAAAGTATAAAATATTATTCCCAATAACTACTGTGGACAAAAATGTAAACAGGATTATACAATATTTTGAAAATATTTTAATATTTGCCATTTTTTTTGTCTGTGCTATTAATATATACATTGATTTAGTAATAAATATACTACCATTACATAGAGTGCAATATTTTTAGTATTCATAACTGGTTGAAATTAATGCTGCTATTACCTCAAGAAAGGAATAAATAAATATCATGTCCAAATTCCAAACTAATGCTCAAAATGTTATCATTAACAAACACTATAAAATAAACATGTTGGGCATTATCTTTTTAAGCATGATTCCTGTAAACATAGCAAAAATAACTTTTCTCAGTCCTGACGTTTCACATGATGGTTTTAAAAGAAAATATAACATACAAATCCTATCACTTCTTTTTTTGCATAGGGAACAAATCAATTATATTTTTAAATGCAGCAATCTTTCAATGAAATGTTTTCGTCACATAGTACTTGTTTTCTGTATGAATTCAGAACTTTTGAGCAATAAAAGTGCTCTGCATAAGTTTATAAAATATGCTTTCTAGATTTAAAATTTAACAGAAAAATTTCCAGCCAAGTCGTAGGTATGATTTTAAAATATTATGTACATAATATATGACTACAGGAGGAAATTCCTCACTGTAGTACAACACAGTGTACAAATATGAAGCACAGTGTTTAGTATAATTTCCCTTTAGGTTTTCCTCACATTGGTGCATAAGTGGCTGACTACAGCATTACACAACATGCCCCATTCTACTTGTTGCATACAAAGTAGAAGAGGGATGTGAGGACAAATTTAAAGTAGAAAATGAAAATAAATGGCAAAAATACAGTGCAAATGCTTTAAACAGTGCACTTTATAAAATAGTTTGCTTTATTCATACTTTTTTATAAAGTGCAATATTACTTAAAACAGAGAGACATGTACCTTAATACTCTGCAATAACCATTAAAACAAATTGCCAGGAAAGAGCAGTGCAAAATTAAAAACATACACATAGCTTAGCATGCATCTCAGATGGATCCCACAGAGTATGGGACCTTGAGTTCTTATATCTTTTTTTTTTTTAACTTTTTAGAAAAACATTAATAATAGCAGGTTATCATCATAAGTAACCATAAAATAAAAACAATAAGTTAAAATCTTCTCTCAAGAAATAAGTATATGCCACACATAAAATTCGTTACAGAATCTTTTTTTGAAAACAGACCCCCTTCTCTGATAAATCACCGTTTGAAGGGTGCAAATTTCAAAAACCCACATTGTCCACAAGGCAAAGCAAAAGGCATCATCACAGTATGAGTCATTTCTTGTTGGCAGACATCTGGAAAACCTGTGACTTATTCTGCAAGCAGCTCAAATCTAACCCTAATTACATTTACAGGAACCTTTGCTCTTTCAAGAATAGTCTTGTTGGCATCATGCTAGGTTGCTAAAAAGAGTAACATGTGCTCTATTCACAGTAACATTCTCTGTCCAGTGCTTTTGGATGAGGATAACCAAACAGGTTTTTCTGAAAAACACCGTTAGGAGGCAGATTCCAATGAGACCAATGGGAAACATTTTTAAAAGCATAAAACATCGCCTCCGGCATATGCTGAGGGAAACAAGGTGCAATGGATCACTGTCACACTCCTACCATGCCTAAGCTACTCAGTCCGAGAACTGGAAGAGGGTCTCTGGGTTATTGCTGTCGGCAGGATTGCTGGGCTGCAGTGTCTTGGTGGGTGTAGTTTTACCATGAGAATGAGAAGAAGAAGAATGGGAACTCTCACTGGAACTGCTGCGCGTCTCCGTACTGGTGCTAGTCTTTTTCATTTTTCTTCTCTTAGCCAAAGGGGCCTTATCGACATTCTGAAGGCAAAACCCCTCTCTCTTGTATTTGTTAAAGGCCTAGGGGAGAAAAAAAGGGAACCTCTGTGAAGGTAAAAGCACTGAGGTTTTCCTAGCAGTTATGACTTATAGCAGAAGACAACTTTCCATAGGTAAATGCAGCCCCAAGTTGTTTCAAGGGAAAAAAGCTCGGAAAACCTTTGTATCTAAGTCTACTGGCAGGGTGGAGAAGTTCATCAGAAAACATTTCTGAGGGCTCTGTTTAAATCAAACTAGCTAGGCTGTCTGAGAGTCACAATTCTAATAAATCTTTGGAAGAAGTTAGTACTACATCCTAAAACAAAACAATTGACTGGAAATTCATGAAGACCATCTGTAATCTAAACCACCCCCTATTGCTTTTACTGGTTCTGTGTCTAAGATTTAAAATTCTGAACATAAAGTCCCAATGCAAGCAGACTTGATGCATTATAAGTTTTTGCTCTTCACTTCCCATTCAGTGACAGGGTATATCCTGAACACTTACACACACAGAGAAGCACAGCTCTACAGCCTCGCCCTGGCCCCCTCCTCCTGCAGCCTGTCTTCATGCTGCTTAGCCTAGGCTTGGACAAGGCTGTAGTTACTCCTTGTAGTTGTCACCTTGCATCCTATGTCATGAGAAGGTTTGGATCATCTGACACAAATTCTTGCAGTTAATCTCTTTACCATCTCAACATTTCCTAGTTTATTACTTCTTAAATCCATTTCTGCTGCTGAAGAAGCACTATCCCTATCCCTTCTCCTTTCTCAAAATAATCCCTTTGAAGGTGATTTTCTTTCTCCATAACTCATACTATACATGAATTATCTTAATGTATTTGCATCTACTTGGCACAAATGTGCATAATCCACAGTTTCTGCCACACCGTCTCAGCCTTTCAAACATATACTCTATACTTAATACCAATTAACTTACTTCATATCCCTCCCAGTTTTAAGAATGTGTGATGTACTAAATGGCTGTGGAATGAATGGACTTTCACATATGTCTTAGTTCCTAATGTTTATTATGGTTTTTAAAGAAAATGATTTAGTTTGAGAGAAAGACGTTCTATTTATCTCATCTCATGAAGTCATTCTACAAATCAAATACATATTTTGTGGGTTAGCAGTGACTCGGGTCCCCTGTGGACTTTCTGTTATAAAGTGTTTATAACCAAGAAGCAATTTATTAAAACATACTTAAAAGTAAAAGGACACATAATATTTTAAACATGAAATGAAGAAAATGTATGTGAACCTACAGAGTAAGAACATTTGATTATGATTCCTACTCAAACTACCCAACATGTGCAGAGCACAGGGCCTTACGTGGAAGGTTGCTTTCACGCAGGTATGCACGGCAGCTCCTGAAGATCCCAGAATATCCGGAGTCATCAGAGGATTTGAGGACAGCTGGCTGCCATCTTGAAGCCATTCATTGTACCTCAAGCCAGACATTTTAAGTCTTTTGTTTGGATCAACTGTGAGAAGTCCTGTGGGAATAGATATTTTTATTCTATCATTTTAAAGATGGTTTAAAAAAAAACTCAGAAATAAATCTCAATTATGTTCACATGACATGATGGTTTCTATCTGGCTTTAACCTCCTATAAAGATAATTAGATTTTCCCATTCATTTAAATTCTTTAGTGAATACTGGATTCTAATGATAAAGTCATAGTAGCCTACTTCTAGGAAGCTGCAGGCTAACTAAGTGGCTTTTCAATCAGGAGAAAAGAACCAACCATAACAAAGACTCCCACTGGTGACTTGGTAAGCTCCAAATGGGCAAAGTGCACGTAATCTACTTCGTCCATTTACCAAACACTTACCGGCCATCTTCTACAGGTCAGGAAGGGCAGTAAGGCACTAGAGATATGGAGATGGAGATACAGGGAGGAGCTATTAATATTAGAAGACACACAGACAAAACCCCAGCTATTATAATATCAGGGACAAGTGCAATGGCAAGACACACAGGCACAGTGTGTGAGCAGGCTGGGGGAGAGCGTAGCCTAGGGAGTGCAGGCCTCCTGGAAGGCTTCTAGGAGATGAATCCTGTAGGATAAGGAGAAGTGGCTTGGGGAAGAGGAGGGCTCCAGGGATTAAGACGAGCATGTAAAGACACGAGGGATCTGAAAGCTTGGCACATCTGAGAAATTCAAATATCCTGCAATGGCATTGCTGGGATGAGGAGGAAGCAGAGGTGCACAATATCAGGTCATGAGGGGCTTTGAATGTTAAATGCTAGGCTAAGGAGTCTCACCTGAAGCTGAGAAGGGAGACCCCTACCCAACTCCCTCCTCACAGACCTCCACCTCCTCCCTCTAGATGAGGAGGGTAAAGAGAGATAAAATACCAAAGAACTAGAATCCATGGTCAAATGACTTGCTGTGAAGTGACTTGCTGACACCACTGACCAGGCCATAATGAGCCCAAGGACTGGGAAGATAACTCCCTTTTCTGTTCCCAGCATTTATGCTAACTATAAACCTTGAAGTGTTGCAAAGAATGTTTTCCCTACTGGCCAGAGCCCGGCTCTGGGTCATGTCCTCCATGTTTACATGACCCAGACCCTCTCCTGGAAATACCTCTGCCAGCTAATGATTTACTGCCTTTGTCTTGTGTCTGTAAGCCCCCTCCTCTGCCTATTCCCATATGCCCTGCATATGAATTAGCAAATCAACGAAAGCCAAAGACTGTGAGGTCAGCTGCCCAGCCAATGGGCAATAACACAGTTTCACCTCTGCTCCCCCTTCAGAGTTGTAAGTCCTTAAAAAGGGAAAGAAACTGCTTCTCGGGGAGCTCGGTGGTCAAGGCATTAGCCTCCTGCAGCTCCTGGACGAATAAAAAGCCACTTCCTTTCTCAGTTCAGTGTTCGAGAGGTTTATTCCCCAATGATCCTGCTACAAAGCAAACAGAGAGTCTCCAAAGGATTTTCAGCAGAAAAGAGGCATAATCACTTTTGGATTATAGAAAAGTCCCTCTATTGATAGATGATGAGATAGATAATAGTTTAAGTTGGAGGAAGTGAGGCAAGGGGAAAGGATGCTGGAAGATCTGGGAAGAGAAATGCTGATGAGAACAAAGGCAATGGCAGGTGAATGGAAAGGAAGGGATGGCCAGGAGCACTGCTGAATCTGTAGGACTCTGTGACTGGCTGTGGAAGGTGAGGCAGGTGCAGGTATCCAGGAGGACATCAATGTTTCTGTTTTGGTGATCGGGCTTCTTAGCAGTGCCACTATTGACAGGAGGAAAGACAACAGGAGGAGCGTGTTTAGGGGAAAGAATAGTCAAAAAGCATTGGTTTGTTTTAGATGTGTTTGACTCAGATGCTAGTGGGAGCCAAGTGCTAGTTCATGCTAGAAACGTAGATATCATTGCTAAGGAGAATGTTCTGATAAGAAGACAATGCTGAAGAGAGTAGCCTTTTTATATTCTAAAAAGCCTTTTAGAATATACATGGATTCCTTCAGTAATTAACATACATGTATGTGTAATGGGCATGATTCCATTTCAATCACTACCCATCATATAAAAAAATGTAAAATTTCAGCTGGGTGTGGTGGCTCATGCCTGTAATCCCAGCACTTTGGGAGGCCAAGGTGGGCAGATCA